CCCCTTGAAACCCTGGCACTGCTGATCTTTTTACTGCCTCTGTAGTTTTGCTTTTGTCAGAATGTCGTACAGTTGGAATCATACAGCGTGTAGCCTTTTTTTTTTTTTTCAGATGGCTTCTTTCACTTAACCAGTATGCATTTAAGATTCCTCAATGTCTTTTCATGGCTTGATAGCTCATTTCTTTGTATTGCTGAATAATATTCCATTGTATAGCTATACCACAGTTTGCTCAGACCATCCAGAAGGCACCACTGTGGACACCAGTCTCCTGATAATAACAGATAAGGACGTTTTATTGTCATATGTATAAGGAGTGGCTGACATTAAACAGCATTGTATACATGTTAATATTTATATTTCTGTAATTCAAAATATGTGATTTAAAAAAAAACACATTTCAGGTTTTCATGCCTATTTCTTATCTATATTGAAACCTAGGAAAAGAATAGAAAACTAAGTGGGGTTTTTTTTCCAATTTGCATTTTAAGCTTAAAATTATATAGCACATACTTTTATTTTAGTTTTAAAGCTTGTAATAATGTTTTTGTGATTTAGTCAAAATAGCCAAGCTCAAGATATAACGAGTAAGCTATCTTCTAATAGGACTTCTTACATCATGCTATAGTTAATCGTTAAAGAATGCCCTTTAAGCTTTGAAATTCAGACTGTTTATAGAAATACAATGTGGATACTAGTTATTAAAAGCATATGCTTCCTGCCTTGAGGTCTTTTCACATGTAGGTCATATCAAAGAGTAGTTTCTGCTTGGTTTCAGTATGGTTATAGAGCATTCTACTCAATCTTGCAGTGGAAGTTAAGGTGAGTTTTTTGGGGGGTGAGGGGGGGTACTTGTTTATCCAGTTAGGCAATTGATATGCAATTACTTATTTAATAAGTTTGAGCTTTCTAAAAACTCTACAGTGTTCTAAAAATGATGTTTTAGTATAACATGTGGAAAGTTTTAATTGAGGTAAACATTTTCCATATCAAATTATACCATTATTTTGATGTTTTCTCTTTGAAGATCATTTTGAAGCTTATAAAGTTTGATTCACCTTTTAACTGTTTGGATCTCTTCCTGATGTTATACTCTTTTCTTTTCTTCTTTTCAGGGTACAGTTAATAAAGTGTCTTCCAGCCACATTGGCTGTTTAGTACATGGGTGTTTTAATGCCTCCATCCCTAAACCTGAGCAGATGCCAACTGAGCAGTGGCAGACC